CCGCCTGGAGAGTGCAGATTCTGACAGCCTTATGATATGGAGATACTTCCGTACTTGGCCATGACCAGCCAGAATGTCTGTGATCAGGCCCAGATTTTGTCTAGTCCAAAGAGGTTAGAAAGGGTAGAGGTAACATAGGAAGCATTTGTCACTGCGCGAATTTTGCCAAAACCAAAAAACTGGGTGGAAGGAGTAGGGAGATGTTCTGGACCGGACTTAAATATTTGTATTGTACTACCTAATTTTGGTAGGTAACTAAAAGATGAAAAATTATGAGACGTTTTTTTTGACTTTATTTGTCAGCACGATTCATTTTTGATGAGGGCAATAACACTTTATCAATATATAACTAGCTAAGGGGCGATTCCACCGTTGTGTCAAACGAAGTTTAAATTACTAAATGAAAATTAAAATGACATTGTTAATGTAAAAATGTCATTTTAAACTCCATTTGGTAATTTAAACTTTATTTTTGTTAATATAAAAATGTCATTTTAATCTTCGTTTACTATTTTAAACTTCGTTTAACAAAACGGTGAAATCGACCGTAAGTAAAAGTTTATAAAATTATTGTAACAAAATAGCTGTTGAGACAAAAAGTTATCGAAACAGCCAAAGTACTTTTTGCCGAATTACATACAAGATTTTTTCTACGATCACACCAAAATAAAATAAATAATTAAATTTTATTAGAAATGGGTTACCTTTTCGTTCGTTATATTTTAAGTTTATTTGACATAAGCCTATTCTTCAAAGAGAAAAAAAAATGTTTTGGTACTTATATACCGGTAATTATTTATGATTTAAGTATTTACGGAAAATACCGTTCAATGATTTAAAATATTAGGAAGTCAATTAATAGCTATTTATGTAACCAGTTACGAAATGCCTTATTTTGTGTAACGAGTAAATATTTGCGGGACGAGCGGAGCGAGGTCCTGCAAAATGAACGAGTTACACAAAACGGCATTTGGTAACGTGTTTACATACAAGATTTTTTCTAATTTTGTCTTGATTATTTATAAAATTGGGTTTAAAAATGATTCACCAGCATTCTTTTTCAGGCACTACCAATCAAATACTTCAGACAATTGTTGTATTTGATTGCCCTACGACGTTTTTTTTTTTCAATAATAATAATAATAATAAAAATAAGGAACATGTGCAGTGTTGTTGATCTGATTTTTGACATTACCCGCGAGAAATTTGAAAAAAAAACATTTTTACCAATTATCCTTAAAGGAGTACGTCAAAATTTTACCCCCAACATTTCTGGGCAGTTTTCAATAACGGTGTTTAATTATTTAAAAATAAAACGTTAAACGTAATGTCATATTTTCAAATGTGAAATGTCCCTATTCATTGCCTTTTTTTCGATATTTGGTTTTTCGATTTTTCGTTTTTTTGGATTTTTCGATTTTTTATTTTTCGATTTTTCGATTACTCGATTTCTCGATTTTTCGACATAAAAACCAAAAAAGAGGCAGTTTTATTTATTTTCATTTCGTAATTGGTGACATAATCAACTTTTCGTAATCAGTTGCATAATGTTCTACATTATGCAACTGGTTGCATAAAGTAGATCGTTTTGGCACTTGCTGTGATTATAAAATATATTACTTTATATGTCAAAATTAGAGAAAATAAAATGTAATTAAATGGATAGATCCCATATTATTATAGAGCAGTGTTTCTCAAACATTTTTGGGGACGGAACCTTTTGAAAAGCGAAATATTTGACGGGGCCCTCAACACATAAAACACATAATTTAAAAAATATTTTTCAGATTTTTCTTCATTTTGACTCTCATTTTGACTTTCAAAGGTAAACGTGATAAAAAATTGGCTTCATATTATGCTCCGATTTACATATTCAATTTTATAATTGTAATTTGACAATATTACTGCCCATCTACGTAGGTCTGTTGGCTGAAAATGGGGGTATACCTTTAGCTGGGTTAAAAATAGTTACCAGAGGTAAGTAATCTGTAACTAGGATAAAGAAATGTCTATATAAATATTCATTAAATTTATTTAAGCCAAAAATTATTGCAAGGCCCTCTCTTTCAATTTGGGAATATTTTTGTTCGGACTTTGATAAGATACGCGAAGCAGAAGCTATAGATTTCTCAATATTTTTTTCAAAAACATGACATATGGCCCTTATTCCCACATTTGATGCATCTACGATTAATTTAATCGGCAACTCAGGCTGAAAATGCATAAGAACATAATTTGTTGTTAATTTATTTTTGATTAATTCCAAAGATTCCTTTTCACCCATAACAAATAAAATAAAAAAAGTCCTAAAGCAAAATCATATCCTCCTTTCTCTTAGTGACTTAAAAAAAATTACTTCTCAAAAAAAAGGTCCTCAAGCCAGGTCCCTCCATTTTGTGGAGATAGTACTGTTTTTTTTATTATGATTATTTTCTTCGCGGAGTCCTCACAAAGGCTTTGCGGATCCCCAGGGCTCCACGGAGCACACTTTAAGTAACCCTGTTATAGAGAAATACTAAATAAATAGTTTTGAAAAAAACTATTGAAACCAGTTGTGAAGTTTGAAATGAATAAATTGGCAATGAAATTGATATTTTTGTAGTTGATTGTATATTTCTCTTTCCTCTTCCTGAAAACAGATTCACCATGAAACAAGAAATAGTAAACAGTTTATAAAAATAACCTTTATTTGCTACTTATAACATGTACCAATGACCAAGTCCGATTCTGTTTATTTTCAAATCAACAAATATGGACATCGACAGAACCTTTAAAAATTAAATATCTCACCGAAATAAATATAAGTTTCTTTTATCTCCATCACATTTCGCACTTTTATTATAAATAAAGCTTTCTACAACACATCTTGGCATTTTAAACGTTAATTTCCAAAATTTAAGTCACTAAAATACCAAATTAATTCTCGTTGACACATTAAATTTGGATGGACAACGCTCTGACATGTGATGTTCTCAACTGTGATTGGTGGGTGTGAATAATTTCGAAATGGGATTATGCGCAGTGTCTTATGTTCCATCTAAGGTTTGTATAATCTAAGGTCTAGTCATAGTCAAGTATTTGTTTGCTGTAATGTTATCAAGATAACTTAAAATCTCCCTGGCAACTAGACATTTCAACGACCTGTCAAAACGCTGAAAAGTGGGAACTAAAAGTATAGCTATGGCAACCCTGTGGCATGTTGTTATTGACAGGGTCAATGATACATATATAGTTCTATAGATTGCTCAAAGCGGGTCATTTGCAAGTAGCCACATTGCCTCGCAAGTGCTCATTAATCAGAATCAGAATAGCAAAAATATGTTTTAAAGCCAATTTCCAGTCTTTGAATATTGTTAACAAAATAATTACATACATTTTACTTTAAGGCATAATTTATGTTCATTTTGAAAAACATGGATGATCAATCTATATAACTATCTATTTCATTGGCCTTGTCAAATCACCAGGCCCACAAGATTGCCATGTTGTAACCACATCATAACCAGTCAAAACCCACTGGCAGCCATTTTGTTTGGAATGCCTAAGACTGCAATTTCTTGTTTCATCCCATCTTTCTTTGAATTTCACAAGGGAATTTTCTTTAATTAGGTCTGTCACTACCGATTTTGTCAGGCTAATAGAAGGGCCAGGTTCAAAAAGTATTTGGTTGGGTGCCTTCTTGGCCAGTGAATCAGCAAGATGATTATCTTTCGATGTGGCGTGATCTTTGATCCATCATAATGTGACCACATTGTTGATGGACACTTAGCGACATTCTAGTACTAACCCTGAGTAAATTCGTGGTCTATTTAGAATGAGTAGTGCTTATCTGTTATCTGTATAGAGGAGCATGTTCCTTCCAGTGATATTGTTTCATGTGATTTCTTTTGCTGCTATGATAATCCCTGTAAGCTCTGTTTAAACTACACTGGTACTATTGCTCACAGCCCATTTTATGTTTGGGTTTAGGGATGAGTATATTCCACATCCTGAGCCTTGTTTGGTTTTAGAAGCGTAGGTGTAGATATGAATTGTACCTGCCACATCCGGCTCTTCTATTTGTTCTGTTATACGTTTATAGGCTCAGATAGAGTTAATGGACATAAGGCAGCTTTACTACCTCTGTTCAGGAATTAGATATCATGTACATAAACAACAAGCTCCAATTGCAATTCATGAATATAGTACTCGGCACAAACATCATTACATTACTCCGTTTATGAAAAAAAACCTGTACTCAACGGTCATATTCCTATATGGCAACCAAAATTATACAATACAATTCCAGAAAACATAAAAAATCATTGATAGTATATACTTGTTCAAAACAGAGCTAAAAGATTTTATTTTCAAAGGCGAGCGTCACATTATTGATGATTACTTCTAATACTACAGCAATATATACTTAAGTTTAGGCAAATTAAAAATAAGTTATCTGTATATCATAGTTAGAAATGTATTAGTACCTATTGTGTGATTTTTTTATTATTATTACTATTATTATTATTGTTATTAATTATTATTATATTTTACTCTTCTGTAACCTTTTATTTACTTTTGGCCAAAACAAGTTTCTATACACTTATTGGAATCCAAAGCTTTATTCTTGACATTACTGTGATGTATCTATAGTTATTTTATCTATTGCATTTATTGTATAAAATTAACTGTATTATGTATTTTATTGAATAAAGCAGATTATTATTATTATTATTATAGGAGATATATCTCGATGAGATGGAGTCCATGATCGCTTGAAGCAGTGTGAGCGCCATATTTGTTCTCAGTAATAATCTTCGAGTATTGGTTTTCTCATTAGAAACTACATTCAAAAATTCTTGTCTATTCTCCATTTCCCAATACAAGACTAACACAATGTAAACAAATAGTTCATCTACTTTTAATGACTAATCACAGACGCGGAAAAATTAATTTCAATATCAATAATAAGCATTTAAAATAAAAATAATAGTGTTTTTAATTTCCAATTTCGGTTTTAGGAATTAGAGAGCGAGTCTCAAACAGCAGCAAGCGACTCAGAAAAACTAATTTTTAACATCAACAAATACAACTCTAAACTATTCGAAACATCAAACAATCTAAAAAATTCCCTTCAGTCCTCTGAACACCACGTCATCGAGAGAGACTTGGAAGCAAATTGTATCTATATCCAATCTACCGGCCTATTACAAAAAATTCTAACCGAAAAAATTAACAATCAGGATGTTGATAACGTTTTGGACAACGCATTGAACATCAACGATGGTTTTCGGATCGATTCCGAGTTGGAAATCGATTTTCTACGCACAGAAGAAGATCTGGAACCGAAAACTTTTAATGGGCATCACGTAGATTCTATCGTATACAAAAATACCTACAACGTATTAAAAAATGTTAAAATCCTGGGAAAAGCTATATTTAAAGATGATGTATCAATTGGAAGTATTAACGATGATATCAAAATCGGCGAAGACACTATTCTGCTTAAAAACAGAGATCAGAATTTGGGAAATTTGAAAGTCAGGAAAGTAAGGGCTGATAATGTACAAGTGAAAGCTGTGAATGGGCGACCTATAACAACTGAAGGTAAAAAAAATATATGAAAATTTAGTTTTATTTAATTTTCATTAATTCGGCAATTTATGGTTGAAATGTAATCTTATTCGCATTTTAGATTAGTTTCCAAGTAACACAAAAAGTTATAAAAATATAATATAATTAAATAAAACTTTGCGAAACATACGCAAACGACACGTTAAATAATTTAAATTTTTAACGAATATACAATATTTAATAGTCTAAAAACAGTACGAAGTTTTTGTTAGAATTTGTTAGATTGTTTTAAATGCATACCATAATGACGTTGTTATAACGCTTCTATAACTTTTAACTTCAACTATACTTATTATGTTGTAATGAAATCGATTTAATTAAAACGATAGTTAAACTAGAAACATATAATGTTAATATTGAAAGAGTAAACAAATAACTATTACTTAGTATAGGAAACTTATTATACACAAATATCAATGATATTATTATTCTGACTTACATAGTTTAAAATAAAAAATAATGAATCCTTCCATAAAACAGAACACATGAATTTTACGGGAGCTTACCAATAGGTAACATGTGACCTGGTTAGTGGTAACGATATTCGCGTGAAGACCGTCATGGTTAATTACGGTTTGCGGTTTCAGAGTTTCAGGTAACCAACTCCTAGAAGGTAGTTAAGAAAATATGATCAGTGTTCTCCGTCTCGCATAATGCTGTTATTTTATATATGTATTTATAAGTTATGATGTGACCCTATTTTTACCAGATTGGAAGGTTTATGATAATTTAAATTAATTATATATTATTTAAATACTGTGGCTGCAATTCGTACATTTTCGGTATTTATAGATAACCAGATAATTCAGTAAATGAGCTATGATCGTTCTAGGTCAAACCTTATGTAAATTAACATGAGAAATCGCTCAAAATAGTGAAAATCGAGATTCAAGTCGAGGATCGAAGTCGGCCTTATCGATAAACATGACAACGCCGGCTCGTGGTTAGATAACGTCGAGCTGCAGTTAGATAACAATAAATATATTAAATAAAAAATAACATGGCATAATATTCGGGGACTAAGAGCAACGACAAACACAAAAAGACATTAACGTAATTTATAGAAATTCATTGAAATTAATAGAAATTCATAGAAATTCATAGAAATTCATAGACATTCATAGAAATTCATAGAAATTCATAGAAATTCATAGAAATTCATAGAAATTCATAGAAATTCATAGAAATTCATAGAAATTCATAGAAATTCATAGAAATTCATAGAAATTCATAGAAATTCATAGAAATTCATAGAAATTCATAGAAATTCATAGAAATTCATAGAAATTCATAGAAATTCATAGAAATTCATAGAAATTCATAGAAATTCATAGAAATTCATAGAAATTCATAGAAATTCATAGAAATTCATAGAAATTCATAGAAATTCATAGAAATTCATAGAAATTCATAGAAATTCATAGAAATTCATAGAAATTCATAGAAATTCATAGAAATTCATAGAAATTCATAGAAATTCATAGAAAATTCATAGAAATTCATAGAAATTCATAGAAATTCATAGAAATTCATAGAAATTCATAGAAATTCATAGAAATTCATAGAAATTCATAGAAATTCATAGAAATTCATAGAAATTCATAGAAATTCATAGAAATTCATAGAAATTCATAGAAATTCATAGAAATTCATAGAAATTCATAGAAATTCATAGAAATTCATAGAAATTCATAGAAATTCATAGAAATTCATAGAAATTCATAGAAATTCATAGAAATTCATAGAAATTCATAGAAATTCATAGAAATTCATAGAAATTCATAGAAATTCATAGAAATTCATAGAAATTCATAGAAATTCATAGAAATTCATAGAAATTCATAGAAATTCATAGAAATTCATAGAAATTCATAGAAATTCATAGAAATTCATAGAAATTCATAGAAATTCATAGAAATTCATAGAAATTCATAGAAATTCATAGAAATTCATAGAAATTCATAGAAATTCATAGAAATTCATAGAAATTCATAGAAATTCATAGAAATTCATAGAAATTCATAGAAATTCATAGAAATTCATAGAAATTCATAGAAATTCATAGAAATTCATAGAAATTCATATAAATTCATAGAAATTCATAGAAATTCATAGAAATTCATAGAAATTCATAGAAATTCATAGAAATTCATAGAAATTCATAGACATTCATAGACATTCATAGAAATTCATAGAAATTCATAGAAATTCATAGAAATTCATAGAAATTCATAGAAATTCATAGAAATTCATAGAAATTCATAGAAATTCATAGAAATTCATAGAAATTCATAGAAATTCATAGAAATTCATAGAAATTCATAGAAATTCATAGAAATTCATAGAAATTCATAGAAATTCATAGAAATTCATAGAAATTCATAGAAATTCATAGAAATTCATAGAAATTCATAGAAATTCATAGAAATTCATAGAAATTCATAGAAATTCATAGAAATTCATAGAAATTCATAGAAATTCATAGAAATTCATAGAAATTCATAGAAATTCATAGAAATTCATAGAAATTCATAGAAATTCATAGAAATTCATAGAAATTCATAGAAATTCATAGAAATTCATAGAAATTCATAGAAATTCATAGAAATTCATAGAAATTCATAGAAATTCATAGAAATTCATAGAAATTCATAGAAATTCATAGAAATTCATAGAAATTCATAGAAAATGAAAAGCGATATCAATATGAAATTTTTAGTAAAAATCAAGTTCCATAAGGGATTTAATAAATAAAAACTGGAAGGTAAGGAGGAGGGTTGAAGTATTGAAAACATGTTTACTCAGAACCAGAAAACGATATCAAATTGAAATCTATAAAGGGATCTATAGGGGGATTTAGTCCATTGATTCTGAAAAAAAATTTGATTGAAGATGGGCGTGATGAGGTCTGTAAACTTTGAATAATTAAATGGGTATATTTCTGTTGCTTTTTTTCTGGGAAAACGTATTTTTTTAAGCCAAATTCAATTCACCGAAAAGAAGTCCCGATATTCAGGATCAATGTGGGTGCCTTTGAAGGGCTGAAGACTAGTAACCTTGCCACCTGTTTTGATTTCCGCCATTGCTTTTATCTCTTTTTTCGATATCCTTGTGTCACAGGGGGAACACGTAGAAGACCGTTTTCTACTACAAATATTCTTTTTAACTTTACACTGGTTGCATATTAATAATTTTGGCTGAAGTGTGCGATTTTACCAATAATCGTTCTTTATAATAATTTTTGACAAGTAAGTTGTGAATTTTGTATTTTTTTAGTTAATCATATTTTTAAACGTTCCGATGAGGGATGGCATTTGTTCCGAAAGCGCTCCCCTAATTTTATTAAAATAGCAAACAGAAATATCTTAAATATTTCTAAAACTCGCACACTTTTAATACGTTTTTCATACCTCCTCAACCTTTGTGTGACACACCTATTTGTTGTTTATTTAAGTGGAAATTCTTTATGGACACCAGGTGCCTAATAGTGAGGGACTCTTGGGTGCGATGTGCAAGCCCGATTTAGCATTTGTTTGCCTTTGACATTTCTTCGGTCTCTACAATTGCCTCTTATTGTATCCTTTCATCATTTTTTTTAACATGATTGTTTTTATCAGTTTATATGATTCCATGTTTCCTCATTCTGAAGCATCAGCTCTCATATGTTATTATTATTGGTGATCGGATTTGCGGTTTGTTTAATAGCTTTCTGTGTTCCATCTAATGCAGTGGAAGATTGTGTGTTCGGCTATGTCAATTTCATGACATTACAAAAAGTTATTGTTGGCTATTTTGCCTACTCTGTGTAGATATATGCTAAAATTCTTGTGATGTATGGAAATATATTTATCCTCATGCTCTATTATTCCATGCTTTGATGTCTTTGATAAAAGTTTTTATCCATACATCGAATTCTTGCCATTTTTATTCAATATGGGTATTCTTAAGCCGTTGCTCTGTGCTCTTGAGCCAGCTCTGATATCTCCGTTTATTCTTCTATCTTTAATTTTAACGGTATTTTAACGACTAGTATAGCCGTTGCCCATGCTTTTCTATCGTCTGGTATTCTTAAGGCCATTTTTCTTTTAAGACTTTCCATACTCTTCTCGTTGTGTTTATATTTTATTGCGGTTTTCCATATTTGAGATCCGTATAGGGTCATGGATATTGTTTCCGAGTAGTACCCTTTTTATTTTCTTGAATCTCAGGCTTGCTAGGTTTGGAGTGATCCTGACTAGATCAATTAACACTTTATTTGCCCTTTCCTTTGTTTTTATTATGTGTGTTATCTTTAAGTTTTTGTCTAAATATACTCATACATACTTTATTTTCCCTTCTATCTTACTCGTAAGGCTGTCACTTTGCATTTCCAAGATATCATTAATATCTCGATTTTCGTGGAGGCCAGCTTTATCTTCATTTTGCCTAACGTATTCGCCCTCTTGTGTACTGCATAGTTTGCTAGCTCTTCTAGAATTTTAGTCACCTCTGTACTCTGTGCTATTTCAAGATCGTCTGCGTATGTCACGAGCGTATTTCCTTTTTTCACATCTAGTTTGACTATAACTTAAGTGAGCATATCTAAGTCTCTGATAATAAAATTAAAGACCTTAAACTTATCCTAGATCTCATTTTAAGCTTCAAAATGTTTTTCGCTAGTCATGTACCAATGCTCTTAAGTTTGATCTCAAATCTATATAACACATAGTAACAAAATAGAGAGTGTTCAGCATAATTTTCTCAAACACAGCCTTTAAATTGGGTGTTCATTGTGAATATGACTTCATGGAACAATTTCTGAATATTCCATACTTGGAAACTAAGCTGCATTTCAAGATTAGACTAAAAATTAAAGTAAATCCCGACAAATCAAAATTTTTATATTCATAATAACAATAAATATTGAATTCTTAACAAATACTATCTTTTATATTTTTTTATAGTCCTTTTTCTAACAAATGACACTGAATGAC